TACCCTTTTGTATAATATTTTTAAATAAACTTGCTGTAGAGTGTAGTCAGGTATAACAGCTTTCATAGAGGACACCATAAGTCTCAGTCTTACTTTATACAATTTTTTTTTTTTTTTTTAATGTTCATAACTCACTTTAAAGTTAAAATAAAAAAAACCTACGTCATTGAATGAATAATATTCTTATTTCTAAATTTGGTAATAGGTAAATTGTATTTACTCTAAAATTTGTTTTATTTTTGGTTTTATTTTTACTTATACACGCCACACGGCATTTAACAATAAAGTACGTATTAATAAATGTATATACAGTAACATATTTATGGAAATATATATAATAACAACAGCGAATATCTTATAAATTAAAATATATAATATTACATAATAAGCTCTTAATCGCTTATCGCTATCTTTGATAGGTACTAATAATGAAAAGACGAAAAAAATGACTAAATAAATAAATAAATACAATAAAAACAAAAAACCAAAAAAAGAAAGTAATCATAACTCGATTGACTGTTAATAAAATGCAATATGGCTCTCCTTAAAGGGTAATCTTCTAAATAATTTCTAGTCTTTGGAGCTTTAGGTAAGTAAGGGTCTAGTGAACGGATTATTACTGGAATGCGAAAACCTATTCTGGACAACAAGAAAATATCAACCATTTAAAAATCTAATATCATTCATATCTCTCCTTTTGCTCAGAGTAGATAGATAAGTTCCATTAATAAGGGTTGATAATCATAGATCGGTAAACCATTTACAAAAATGGGTGCTGAACACGGTAAATTTGAGTTATGTCACATTTAGTTCTTGGGGACAAAACCACAGACCCATACCCTACGAAATTGTTCTAACTAGAGAAGTTTATAATATATCAACAGACATCTTCCAGACATGACTGACCCCGCATGTCGTATTTGCCTCCTATCCAGTCAATTTAATATAGCAAAGTTAAATGAATTATTCAGAATGTACTACCTATTTGCTTTGTTATACGTTTTAAGACGGAGATGACGCATGCGGGTATGGCGTCTACTTAATAGTATAAAAATGATTTTGGTGAAAACCATAAACGTAGAATATTGGAGCCAGTGGAGAGAAATACATACTATATAGCATCGTTTCTCAACCTGCAGCAGTGGTGAGCGTACCACTACGGAGGTAAGCAGTAACCATAAGCTAGTAGGTAGTACACTCAGAAAATCTCCCTTTATAAAAAAAAAATGGAATGGATCATTCACAATATATTATATTATTTGGTCTTTTTGATATTAAATAATAATATAAATAACAATTGAACATATTTCATTTAATTTTTTTTACGAATTAAACGCTTATATCAAATATTAACATTATATAATGGTTTATGGTAGGTATTTGAAAAAGTATAATACGTGTAATATATGAGTAATAAAGTGAATATTATTATTAGCTGTTAATTGTTTATTTTAAATAGCTATAGTTATCGTAATTATAATTAGATATTTTAAATATTTATAGGATTACGCATATAAATTAATATATATTGTTATAACTTTATAAGCAGTCGTTATTATATTTCGGAATGTAACCGATTCAATAAAATCGAATCATAATCATAAAGATAATAATGAAAATTAATAAATAAATGTATAACATTTTTTATTATTATTTTAATATAATATTATGTTGTACTAGCTAGTACATTTACGCGTAAATGTCATGTATATGTTGTAAATTGATTATCAATCATTGATAATTTATAATTTTTATTATTTTGTTATGCATATATAGTATATACAATTATTATACATATATGATATATAAATATTATATACCCATAATACACAGTGAAACTTCCGTATAACAAATTTCTATTTAGTCAAATATTTTGTTTAATGAAATATTGTTGAGAACCATGACCAAATTAAAACCAAATATATATAAAAGATTGTGTTCATCAAATTTTTCTACAGTAATAATTTTTAGTAGTTGTCCACGAGACTTCATAACATGGAAGATTCAATTTATAAGGTCTAATAAAATGATTAAGTCTTTCGAGTATATTTTTATACTTTTGTAATCAAAAATAAAATAATAAAGTGGCAAAGAATTGTTTAATAAATTATACAAAAATTCACAATTTCCTACAATCACTTGAATCAGTAAAAGAAATAAACAGATTGCAATACTGCGACACAGAAACCAAATATGTTTTGGGAATACGGTAAAAACTAAAAATCGACTATCTTTGGTGAGTATTGACTCTAATTTTAGAATAACCCATATCAAGATCTAGTAAAATTAGCATTGTACGTTATTCTTGCTACCTATTTGAGTACGAAAAAAAAGTGTAAATAACATTTATTACAAAATATTACATAATATTAATTCCAATGTGATTTTTTCCACAAAAATACTCTCTACAAGAAAAATGGTCCTGTTCTGAAAATTCAACCAAATTTGATAATTTTATTTTTTATTTAATGGTGGGTTTTACTGGGTGATATTATACAGGCCATATTAAACTGTGTTTTTCAATTATTTAATCTCAAACTGCATCATATGTTACTTTATCATATTCAAAAATAATAAAATTTTAAGCTTTTACATATTTTATTATATCATTATTTGAAATAAAATAAATATTGGAGTTTAATGTGGTCTGTAAGTAGTATTCTTCTTTCAGATAAAAAAATAAAGGCCCGAGAATTATTCTTTTTAAGTCTTTTTTTTCGATATGATTATACACCGTATTAACCCCCCTATACATAGATATCTGGCAATAGATTAGTGAAAAAGTATTATAATTAAGGTGGAAACTAAAATATAAAATATAATTTCGAAATTTTATAGAATTGCGGAAAATTTGAAAAACCGGCACCGAGCCTCTTAATAAAATTGTAATGTCATGAGTCAAATGTTTTTATTGTTGGTATATACAATATTATAGTTTTATGATGCTTAAACAATATTAATTTACAAACTGTTAGGTATTACTTGTCATGTTAATTACATTTTGTGTAAAACATTTTTATTTTTCGTGGAGTAGCTGCGGTATCTATGTACCTACTGTAATATTTGGGGTTTTTCAAATATAGGTTTTAATTATACTATATTCAATAAGTATATTTAGTATATTTAGTAAGTAAGTTATAATAATTTTTTTTTTCTGGAAGGGGGTGCTGTAACTGCTGAGCCGTCCAAACTAGACCCCTGTTTAAGCTTATTATGTAAATTAGTGAACCTAATGAGAACGTATATCATAACAACTACTGTTAGCTAATGCCTAATAGCATATACTGTTTCGTCGTTTCATTTTACCTCAACATTTTTAATAAATTACATTTGTAATAACAGTACCTAGTAGCCAGTACCGGTACTTACTATTATTGTATAATATACTAATAAATATATATAATATACTATTAGATACCCTGGATGAAGCACTAAGTCCTGCAGATCCAGACATCACCAACAAAATGCTTACATACTTAGAATTAACTAAATTGTACAATCTAATATAACATATTGTATGTGACGTATGTATCATAATCGTACCATAAACCATTTTAACCTATTAACGTATGTCATGAGCCAATAACCATTGTTGTTGCGGCTTTAATAAAGGAAAACAAAAAAAATTGCTATTATTATTATTATTAATTGTTATTATATCGTCGGCAACCATGGGCATTGGATCAAGGTCATCTATCTAGCCCACTTGTAATGACGTCATCTCCGTACTTGGTTTGCGATCTCAAACTCACTCACACAGTCACACACACACACATACATACCACCCTTATCCTCGAGATCGAGGCAATAAAAAACCGTTGTCCGTATAATATACGACAGTACAACGTGCGTATAAAATATATAGTACATTCGCGTTACAATATAATATATTATTATTATAGTACACATTATTAGTATTATTACTATTATAGTGGAGAACCCTCGATCACCACCGGCACCGCCACCCCATTTTCATTCAATATACGATCGTTTTCTCGTGTGTGTGCGCGTGTGTGTGTGTGTAGACGGGTGTTTGTGTTTCGGTGTGCGTAAGCGTAAGAGTGCGCGTGTGCGTACTATATGAATAATATCGTACTATTCCCTATACCCCCACCCGTGTTTTCGGCGCGTGAGTGCGTGAGCTCCCGGGACGGTCGCGCCAGATTATCGATTTGCGAGTTCAGTGACAACGCGGACGCATACGCACCCAGAGCCTGACGTGGGCGCACTCCTCGCTCGGAAAAAACTACGATAAGTGTAACGACATCAATAATATTGTTGTTGTTGTTGTTGTTGTCGTCGTCGTAGAATTCGCATTATACACCACCATCGGAGTGGAGTTTTCTCAAGTACGACCGTTGTTTATTAAACTAGAAAATAGACTTTTCACGAAATCGCAGTGCACCAAACCCATCGACACCCATTTTATTAGACGCGTCCGTACCTATATAGTTTATCTTGTGTTGCGATAAAACCGAAGTTGGTATTGTGTAAATGCTATAATATAGGTACTGTTGTATCGTTTCAAGTTCAACTTACGACGAATGGTACTGCCCTGTATACCTCTATACCAACGATTCTCGTGTCATGTGTACATTTCATATTATCAACATCCCACGATTATTTAAGTCATTATCGACGTTGGAAATATTTTTTCCTACGATCACTTAAATTTTGTATAATATCTTCAATAATAAATACGTCGTGGTGTTCAACAAAATTATTAAAATTAATACCAAAAAAAAATCCTAATTACCTAATATTCTATAATTCTACTACAAATATTTGTAAATATTAATAACACAAACACGCAAAAAGTTGGTGCTGAAATACTACTAAACTATGAGTTTCGTTTTTTTTTTAGAATGTTCGCTAATAAAAGGCGGGACAACATGATGTTACTACATGCAATCATATTTAGTCAAACGTTTGATTAGCTTTCTAAACGAAGTTTTGATCTGTCTTCTACATGATGTAAGATAATCCTAAACACTGGAATCATGTCAGGTTAGTTTTACTATTTACAGTATTATTATATATTAGTTTAATTTCTATACGGTGCATTACAACATTTGTCTTAATTGTAACAACTTGGTTACATCCACCTAATCGTCAATAATATTTTGGAATTCTCAACATTATTTTTTTAATGTTTTAGAGTACATAGGGTTCGGTAGTTTACCGGATATAGTACATCGAAAAACCGTCAAAAAAGGATTTGAATTCACTCTGATGGTAGTCGGTGAATCTGGTTTGGGAAAATCAACACTGATAAATACATTGTTCCTGAGCGATTTATACAAGGAACGAAATGAATCTAGTTATGGTATGTCAATTGAAAATATCTACACTTAGATATAATATTTTTCCTAACTCATATTTGAAAAATTCCAGAACCTCCTCAGACCGCACATATTGAAAAGAAAACGTTATGCATCGAGGAACAAGGAGTTAAGTTAAGATTAACCGTTGTAGACACACCTGGTAACTGTTTTATCGAAAACTGACTTTTGAGAGGGAAAAACAACAGCTGTATTTTTATTTCAGGTTTTGGTTCGTCTTTGAGCAGTGATGATTGCATTCGGTCATGCTGCGAGTACGTGGACGAACAATTTCGAGCATATTTCGCTGAAGAAAGTGGTATTATCAGAAAGAACATAATTGACAATCGTGTTCACTGTTGTCTTTATTTCATACCCGGTCATTGTCACAGGTATGTAAAGTGTGAAGTTGTGAATATATAATTTGTGATATATTATACCGTTCTTAAATCGCAATATATCTTTAAGCCTAAGGCCAATAGACGTAGAATTCATGCTCAATATCCACGAAAAAGTCAACGTCATACCAATCATAAGCAAAGCAGATATGTTGACTGAAAAAGAAAAAATACAAATCAAACAACGAATAAATGATTCTATTAAAACCCACGAAATAAAGGTAAATTATTTATTAATTTTATTAAAAACGATTGTTTGTCGAGAATATTAATTAAGAATTACTATAGGAATATATTCGATATTATATACCTAAGTATAAAATAATATAAGTATTTTTATTTTTATTTTTTATACCTAACTATTTAAAATTTGTTAATATAGTAGCTCGAAACATATTTCTCAACTTCAGGATAAAAATTATATATTTCTAGTTTACTACCTATAATCACTCAAAAAATTTGAAAAATAATAACGTATATTCAGTGAGAATGGATGTTCTAAATTTAGTAGACTGTTTACCAAAAAGTCCGAGAAGAAAGTTCGTTGTTTAAAAAGTCAACGGTAAAAAAGTCCGAATCATATAAAGTTCGTGGTGAAAAAGTCTGGTATACTTATCAAACGTTCCAATTAGTAATTATATAAGGTGTAACTAACTGTAATGTTTTTTTAAATATATTATTTTTATATGACAATAGTTAATTAAATAGAGAAATTAGAGAAATTATAATATTAGATAAAATTATAATTAATTAATTTTTTTTAATATATTAACGATGAAATCATTATACCTAATATATTACGTATAATTTTTTTGTAAATAATTTCAATTTTTTATACAGGTAATGATGCTAAGTAATTATTATCATTGAACTTTTTCTTTAAAAAAATTATTTTAAATATTGTTATATAAAGATATATACAGGACTTTTTTATTTCGGACTTTTTTATCGTGATTCTCTAAATTGGTATCACGATTCAAATCCAATAATGTACCACATTCAGATCTTGTATAATATGAATTCATATACACGAAACTGTTTAGCAAAGATTAGATATTCATTTATTATAAATATTTAATAAATCATTCGCATTTCACAATCTTAGGACATAAATTACTTATGTCGATAGATGCATATACGACTATATCGAACGAATAAATATTAACTATTTAATTTCTACTTTAAATATGTGTCATTGTGTTGTATTGTTATCGAATATAACTAAGTTGATATCGATCATATTATATGTGTTTCAGATATACCAACTGCCAGACTGCGATAGTGACGAAGATGAAGACTTCAAACAGCAGGATAAAGAGTTGAAAGCATGCTTACCGTTTGCCGTGGTCGGAAGTAACACGATTTTGGAAGTTAACGGGAAAAAAATGCGAGGAAGGCAATATGACTGGGGTGTGGTAGAAGGTAGAAAAATTTGAATACTTAATAAACTGTTTATTTACTTACCTACATATACATTGTTTTTTAGAATAGTAAACACAGAGAGAGTAGATAAATATATTTAACGAGTAACGACATATGAGTATTAATGTTCATTAAACACAATGTGTGTTTATATATTATATTTTCAGTGGATAACCCAGCTCATAGCGATTTCACCAAACTCCGAAATATGCTAATATCCACACACATGCCCGATTTAAAAGAAGTCACCGAGGATGTTCATTATGAAAATTTCAGGACGCAATTGATTTCCAAAATATCGCAGCAAGCATTCAAGGATAGAGGGTAAATAATATAAAAAATGTAATACCATTGAATGAATAACTAATTATTGGGTTTGCGTAGAAAATTAAAAAGAGATTCGATACCAAAACTGCTACCAGCACTTGATGAAACGGATATTTTGTTGCTTCAAAAAGAAGAAGAAGTAAGTTATTTAAATTTTTAACTGGTGTGTGAATAATTTAAACTCATATACAATAGGTAGGTATGTTTAGTACTAGGTACTATGTTTACTATAAAATGTCTTAACATTAACAATACCATCAATGTATACTATTACAGTATTACCTATTGTACATAATATAGGCACATGGTAGCCACATAGATAGCTATTAGGTATGACTCTAAAAGGAACAATGGTCATAAATAATAATTATTAGTGTAGTTAGGTAATACACGTCATTACTCATTACACATAATGTTGATGTAAACACCGTACTAAGAGAAAACACACAGTTCTGCGTAACACTAATGAAAGCTATGATAATAAACAATTTTACATTTTATTTATAATCAAAACTAAAAAATGATTTTTTTTTTAAATGATAAAGCTGTCGTTTGTCATCTCTTAGAATTTAAAATATATACCTAATCGATGTATTTTTAAATGAATCATACACATATCAGGATATGTCAGTATGTCCCTGATTATATAGAGGCCTGTGTTTTTTCTTATTTATATATTAGGGATATCGTGTTTATCAATATTTGGCTGTTAGGAGTTAGGACAATACCCATATGGCCCATCGGCCACCGTGCAGTCAGAAATTTTATGATTCATATTATGTATATCAAATATGACAACATTGCGTTTGTTTTATTTTATAATAATGTGCTCTAGTGTAAACGCATGTTAATATGGATTACAGCCAATGGCTATAGTCGCCGAGGCTATTTATTTAATAACTAAATAAATAAATTATGTTTTCTATAATTATTTAAAATATGATCGATACAATTATACTGCTGACATATAATATAATTTAGCTCATTATTAAACACGGTTTTACTATCCAACATTTAGATCCGCCGCATGCAAGACATCCTTGTTCAGATGCAAGATAAACTGAAGACCAACAACGAAAAAAGCAATCATAACCTATACCTAGCAGCTCAAAAATCACTGGAAAATGAAAACAAAAAAATTGAAAACGTAATCAACGTTTAACTTACAAAAATTAAATATTATAGTATAATATTAAATATTGTTTACAATTTTACAATTTTACAACAATTTCTTATTTATGTTATAAGATCATGTTGTATTAATTTGGTGTTCAACTTGTAAAAGTATTTCTATTAATGTTTTACATTTTTTTTATAATATCAACATTATTTGATTTACTGACTTTGAATTCGTTGTCGTTTTATATATAGCCGTGTAAAGGATTCACTATTATTATTGTATTATAACATTTTATTATTTTCGTTTGAAACTTACCACTGTAAATTATAGTAGACGTGGTAAGAAATTAAAATTGGGACTAAAACAGTAGGTACTTCGTGGTTTAACTTTTAAGATTGTTTAGAAATGTATATATTATCATCACAAAATAAATTCTTGGTTGGTTACGATTGGATTATTGTTGATTTCAATGTTTACACGAATACACGATGTGAACACCAGTTGTATAAACAAAAGAAAGTAGTAAATTACGAACCCGTATCGAATCCTTAGAATTCTACAATGAATAGGTAGTATTTTACTATTTTATAAACATGTCATTTTTTTAACTTTCAACAAAATTGAATATTCAGACATTATTTTATTATATTATCAAATAAAATCAAACAAAATTTATTTAAATGATACTCTATAAATAAATGTGTTGGATATTGTTTATGAAAAAAAATGTATTTTTTATACTAAACCCCTTGACGTCAACCCACATATTATTATTATATGTATATATTGTGTATATTGTATAATAATATTTGTCATACTTGCTTATATGTAGATACCTATTTCAAACAATTTAACGTAATTTCGTAGTCTGAGCGGAACATGACTCAACTAATATGTATGTTATAGCTGTAAACATATATTATTAATATAATATTATTTTGTGAAAAAAAAAACCAGCTAGGTAGGCTTCTGTCGTTTATTCTCTCCGGACAAACTATATGGTTATAGATACAATACTGTCAATATAATATTATGTACATTATATTGTATATATTATTAATATATGCCATATATAGGTTGAGAACGGAGATGATATACATATTCCAATAGACACAATGTGTACGATCGACGAGATGAACGTACAAACACAGATGTACTTGTAAATTTATATTATTATGTTATATAATATTATAGATATGTCTTGTATAGTATAGGTATATAATAAAAATGTGGCGTCCTTTAAGCTGTCACAGCACCACACGTTATTATTATAAATATTATATGTGTGTCATATAATATGAACAACTAATTTCAATAATTAATACGAGTGATGATAAATTTTAATAGTTGACAATAATTCATTATCGTGGAGTGGAAAATAAACAGTGCAGACACATAATCACGCGTATGTAATCGAGTGTCAAATTATATGTGCAATATATTATTAGTATAATATAAACGGCTGATGTAGTTTAATAATAGGTATGCAGTAGATATACCTACACAGTTACAAATTATGATAATCGAGTGGCAACGGTTTTTAAGTGAAAAAAAAACCATTTTATTCTCTGTAGTTTATGTAGGTATCTATTATCTATAGCAAGATATATTGGCTATTTCATACGCCAATAGGTAGTGGTCGATGATAACTGTTTTGAATTTATTTTAGTAGTTATATACAATCGCATTAAATAGTGAAAATTCGAAATTATGAAGAGGGCAGGGACCCGCCTGGTCAATCGATATTAATATACATCTCAACCAGCAATGGTATAAATTGACAAAAATCGCAGATGTAAGCTGAGAAGTGCAGTGTTCGATTTTTTTTCTCGTGTAGGTATAGCTTAAGCTGTTTAAAGGATATCCTGCGTTTCTACTTCCTCTCTATATTCGTTCCGGCATCGTATAAGAGTTATTTTATACGCTTTATTATGCAGGTGCCTACTCGTTACGTAATACACAGAAATTAAGGTTTTACTCTCACAAATGTACTACCTAGTACCTATACAGAAAAAAATTAATATTAAAGCTATAGGTATACAAAAAAAAAATAGAGGGAAAATATACAAATGAACTTGTCTTACCAATATAGTAATAATAATTGCAAATCGACGATATTATGTAACAGTAATACCATCGGTCCTGTAAACGCTGTTCGATTATGATAGGGTTCGGAAACCCTAAATGTATAATGGTGCTCACGTGTAATGTTAAAATACCTTTAGATAAAACTCTAATATCAATTTAAATACATATAACTAATTTTTGATATTTATAATTATATTATTAATTTATAATTGTTCAGTTCCATGTTACAGTGATAAATCTAATATATATTGTAATTTGTTAGTCACCACGTGCAATTTTTTTTTAAACACACGAAATAAAAAAAAAACTGATTCAATGTTGTTATTTATAAGCATCAATACATATCAGTATAAATTAGTGGTAATAGTAGATCAAATATATTTACATTGCATTATAAAATAAAAAGTTAGGTACCTAATACATTATATATTATGGCTATACCTATAGCTATATTGTATTTTGTGTTACTACTTAAATCTTAACAAAATAACGTTAGGTAGTTTAATTGTTGGAAAATTAATGGAATTCAAACCTACGATATGAAAGGCGAGTATGAAATTACGTCTATAATAGTGTTTAAAAATTTTAAATATAGACATGATAGTCGATAGAGTACATTAAGTACCACACAGCACACACTATAGTATTTTGTCCACGTTCAATAAAATATGGTAAACAATAAGATTATTCGTCATGAACAACTTGCAAGTGATAAAAATTGTACCACATGAGTTCACTGCTTAGAGCTCGTATTTGTCGTATTATTTTCCTCCTAGTAAACTTTTAAATTTAACATGTACAACAGACCACCCATTCCACCTTCACTTATATGTTATATCTCTGTTGTAATAAACATAGTACAAAGCCGTAATTTTGGAATTGCCTTTATTGAAATACGTAAAACATGATTAAAAACATACGGCAACAACCATACCTAGATAGGTATACCTACTATCGCGGTCTAAAAACAATTATTTAACTACATAATGTTTTAGGTATACTACAGTTTAAGTACCTATATAGAAGTTATCATATAGTTAACAACATTTTTAAATTAAATTTTTTTTGCATTATAATAAAATATAATAGGTATTAGGATCGTCGTTTTTCTTATCTTAAAATTGTATGACGTGCAGTGGATTATTGGTTGTCTTGAGAAAATATTGTAAAAAAAATCTGTAGTTCCATATTATATTATTATACTTCTTAGTTATTACCATGTTAACAGTTAACAAGTAACAAACACACTAGCTATTGTGATACGTATTGTTATATTGTATAGTACCATAATAATGTTTATTATCTAGAAATTAATCCATTATTGTTCTCAACTGTTTGGAAATTTGATGAGTGTGAACTGTAACAAGATTTTTAAATTATTATAGGTACGTGTAAACAGGGACAAATTAATCTTTATTAAAATAATCATTATCCCGAGAACGCAAGATGAGACAAAAATTATCATGCATTATAAGGTACCTTCCAAAAAAATAATTGGTTTTTTTTCATTTCATGTTAGTTTATGACAATGATTTTAAGTTAAGAAAATTACTATACAATCTATTGTTTTATTTAAAAATAGTTCTAATAATAATTATGTACCAAATTCTTTAATTTAGACTTCGCTGTTTATGTGTATATATTATATATTTAAATATGTTTTCATGCAATAGGTACTCTCAGATTAAATTTAGTTCTCATGACTTGTATTATATAAGTATTAAGTACACAAAATTGATATAATATCATACATAATATTCACGGCAATTACCCGTTTCCGCCAAAATTTAAAATGCTCGTTTCCGCAATCGTGTAACTACCATTATAATTTATCACAAGTTATAAAATAAAACCCTGCTAAGAGCAGAACTGGTACCTTTTGTTTCTTTGGTTCCGGTACTCAATTATTTGATAAAAAGTTTCTGGTTCTGATTCCTGTTAAAACCGTCAATAAATGGTTCCAATTATTTTTTGTTTTAAATGTATACATTAGTACCTATCTGGTTAAATGTATACAAAATTGAAATAATAATATATTTTATTATGTGCCTATAGTATAATATATTATATGCATATCAAAATACATAATACGCATAGGTATATAAATAGCCATTTAAGTTTTAAGATTTACCAATCTATATACAAAAATAATATTAATTTATCAAAGCACCCTTATACCTGAAAAAGGGATCACATAAGTAAAAACCAAATTAATAATCATTGAAAAATCGCAATATATTTTTTTTAATTTAAAAAATAATATATAAGTTCCGGTTACTGGAGAATATTTAATTTTTGTCTCAGTTACAGGTATTCCGGCTTCCAATATTTGGCTATAATATTCAAGATAATTTTATTTTCGGTTTGGGTCCAGTCCCAGGCTACGAGCTAGTTATACAGACTACCACTATTCAGGCTGAGACACGATTGAGCATAAAACACCTTTTTTACGACACGATTGAGCCAAATTGTCGGTGTATCAAAGGAAATCAGAATACAAAAGAAAACCTACACGATTGAGCATAAAAAACTCTGCAACGTTGCCATTTTCCATTTTAAACTATATTATACAAAAAGATTTATTTAAATAACTATTATAATTCAAATGATAATGATGATAATAATAATAATAATAGTTATGAAAATAATAAAATCAAAATATGGTACGAATTAAAAAAAATACTGCATGGCTTATAACTTTATAAGTCAAGAATACTATAGAGGATGGGTGATCGAACACTGATATTATTTAAATGATAATTTGGGAATTGTATCTTAATTTATAATCTTATGTTTTTCTTTAATTTTAAATTTTTAAAACTTCGGAACTTTATTGCTCCGGAACTAATTTATTAACCAATAACATTGTCGATAAAGCTGGGCTCAGCTCACAACTCTCGTCTGGTATCATAAAAATTATTAGGGCAATAATATGTGAAAATAATAAATTACAA